GCCACCAGAGCTCCCATTCCCATCATAAAATGCAAATTTTCTGAATTCCAAAGCAAATCTTACAAGAGTTTTAATGATCTATCTTAATATTATACACAGGTCTCATTCTATTTTTACCTTTATATATATTTTTTTTACCCAATATTCTGTTTTTTATTATTTATCCATGTTGCCATATGTACATCTAGGAGCTCTGGTAGCATAGTGGCTAAAAGCACTTGACTGCTAACCAGAAGGCTGGCGGTTCAAACCCACCAGCCACTCCTCAGAAGGAAGGTTGGGCAATCCTACTTCCGTAGTGATACTGCCTCAGAAACCCAAGGAGGGGTCGCTATGAGTCGGGGCCGACTCAATGGCACATAACAACAACAACAACAACATATGTACATCTAGTCCTTTACTTCTAACTGCTGCAGAATACTCTATGCAATACACCCCTCACATTTTACCTATCCACTTCCCCCCAATGGCAGCTAGATTGCCTCCAATTCCCACCACTGCCAACAATACCTTGAAAAACATACTCATGCATGTCCCTTTATGGGCCTGTTTGAGAATCTCCTTGGGATTGATACCCAGGGTAGAATAGATGGGTATGCAAATACCTAATCTGACCGAATAATGCCACATTCCCTCCAAAGTAACTGCATCACTCTGGTTGTGTTGTGTAAGGGATCCTGGAGCCCCATAATTCCCTTATCACTTGCCAATACCCAATGTTCTAATTTTTGCCAGTCTAAGATTAAATTTAGGACCTCTGGTGGTGTAGTGCCTAAGGCATCTGACTGCTAACCAGAACCCACCAGCCACTCCTCAGAAGGAAGGTTGGGAATCTACTTCTGTAGAGACACTGCCTTGGAAACCCAAAGAGAGGCCTGTATGAGTTGGATCCGACTCGACAGCAGTGAGTTTGGTTTTGGTTTAGAATTAAATTAGGTGTAAATTGTTATCTCACTGTTGTTTCCCTTTGCCTTTTTCCAATTATAATATATTTGAGTATCTCTGTGTACTTGTTAATGTTTGGGGTTACCTTTATGTAAATTTCTATTCATAAACTTTTCCTATTTCACAGAGTTTTTGTAATTTTTCTGCTGATTTCTAGGGGTTCCTTGTATATTCTCCTATTGGTTTTGTTGACGAATTCATTTGTTCATGTATTCATTTGGAGAGACCTCACAGGCTCTGCCGTCAGTTGGCTGACTTTGCAGAAGCTACTTACCAGGCTGGGAGCTCTGGTAGCGTAGTGCCTAAGCCACTTGACTGCTAACCAGAAGGCTGATGGTTCAAACCCACTAGCCACTCCTCAGAAGGAAGGTTGGGCAATCTACTCCCATAGTGATACCGCCTTGGAAACCCAAGGAGGGGTCAGTATGAGTCGGTCAATTTGACAGCACATAACAACAACAGTAACACTCACCAGGCTTAGATCTTCTGTGGGCTGCTGGGTGGGTTCTAGCAGGCTATCCTAGAGTGACTAGCCGAGTGCATATCATCTGCGCCAGCCAGAGACCATTTCTACTGGTTTTAGATGTTGCAAAATATTCTCTTCCAATTTATCAGCTGTCTGTTAATTTTGTCCATAGTATGCATCATACAATAGAAATTCTTAATTTTTTATATAATCAAATTCTCCAGTATTTTGTCTTGTGGTTTGGGGTTTTTGATATTTTAAGAAGTCCTTCTCACTCTTAAGTGACAAAAAAAATCTCCTTCATTTCCTTCTACAGCTGTCATAGTTTTACCTTCCACATCTAGTCTTTAATCCACTTGGAGTTCACCTCCTTATGTTGATTTAGGTTGGAGTCCCATTTTATTTTTACCATATACTAAGCATTTTGTACTAAACAATCCATGCTTTCCTTATTGACCTGGGTGCCATCTGTATGAACCTGTCTCTAATCTCTCTATTTTGTTTGAATATTCAATGTTCTTTTACCAGATGTGACTATTTTTGTTACTATTGCATTGAACTATGTCTTTATAATTGACACGGCCAGTTTCCCTCTTTATAAGTTTACCTTAGATGTTCATGGACCTTTATTCTTTCTTTATTCTACAGTTATACTATCCTCTCATGTAATAATCACAACTCTATGAGGTGAGTACTTTTATTATCATCATTTTCCAGAAGAAGCCCAGAAAGATAACAAAATTATCCAAAAACACGCAGTATGTACATAGAAAAGCCAGAATTCAAGTAGAGTCCAGACTCTTAACCACTACATTATCTCTCTACCTAATGGTAGTTACTTTATGGTACAGCTGCTACTATGAGCAGGAGTCTTATTTTTACTATATTTTCTAATTGATTTTTGCAGACATAGAAAAATGTGATTGCTTTTTGTAAGCTAGTATTTGTATCTGATGAAGTTGGTGAATTCTCTCATTATTTCCCATCATCATTTTGTTGATTCTGTTGCTTTTTTGTATGTTAACCACAAATAATGACAGTTCTACTTTTCACTTCCAATTTTTTAATGTTTTTGGTTTTTTCTTTTCTAATAACAATGGTCAAGACCTCTAATACTATTCTAGACACTATGTAGTTGTGATCATGGACAAAATATACTTCTTATAGAAATGTAACATTGTTTCAGAAAGAGTAATGCTGTTCCAGGAGAAGCAAATTTTTTCTTTGCTACAGTATGTGCAGTGTATGAGAAAACTTTTCCACAAAAGTATAGGTTAGAAACTGTGTCTGATGGCCAAGCCTGTACTCTGAGCAGAGACTATGTGCTCATCTATGCAGCAGAAATGTCTTTTTCATGGGAGATGATCTTTGCAGGGGAGAGACGGCTCAGTTGTGATAAACTTGACTTCATTCTGACTTTAAGTACATTTAACTCCATCTCAAATCCCTGTGGCAACAACACAGCTCTGCACCTGCCATTTGCTTTATATAATCTGTTAGATATGATTGTTTCTGACAATGGATTGGTCTCTAGCCCCATGGGGAGATTTACAGACAGCAGCACTGACAGGGGTCTTAGAGATCAACCATGTCTCATTTTATACACACCTGAAAGTCCTATGGTGGATGGCACATCACCTTCCAGCAGATGATCTGCCTGGGGGCATTGATGCCAACAGGGGAGCAGAGCCTGAATCAGACTAGGGGTGAAGAGCACTTTCTCCTTATTGTACTTGCTACTCCATCTTCAAAGAAGCTTAGTGTCCAGGGCTTACAGTGACCTCATGCATCCAGACTTGATGGAGATCCAAAGGAGAGAAGGAGGAAATACCTACTCTCTTCTCCTATATCCCAAAGCTGGGCTCAGGCATTTCCAGAGGGAGAATCCTGGGCCCAAGTGCAGTCAGATCCATCAAAAACTCAGAGTCAGTGACCAAGCAAATCCTCCCCCCTACACACACACACACACACACACACACACACACTGAGAGAGAGAGAGAGAGAGAGAGTGACTAAAGCTTGTGGTAGAAATGAGTGAACTGAAAAGTCCCACAGGAATCACAAACACGGCACATCTAAAATGGAACTTCTCACCATCCCCTCCAAACTCGCTCCCTCTTACAGTAACACCACACACACACACACACACACACACACACACAGGAACTGGAAAGACCTTCATTCAGTCATTCTCAGAGCCTTGCTCTCTCTCACACCTGCGGAGTTACCAAGTCCTCTCCCCTCCCCATCCCAGTCCCTCTGCTCTCCATCCTGAATGGGGCCTTGGCCCTGCCCTCCCAACAGTTCTCCCTGCCCTACTCCTGATCCCTGGCATCCAGCCTCCATACTGCTGGAGAGATCTTCCCATCAAGCACATCCTGACCTATCTCCCTGCCTAAAATCCTACAGGTCTCCCCATCCTCAGAATGCAGCACACAGTCCTTAGTATAATCTCCTCATGGCATAACCTCTCCAGCTTCACACCCACCAGGACCCCCACACTCCCACCTCCCTCCATCTTCACTTCCGGTCCCTGTTCTCCTAAACCAGAACCTGCATCCTATCCTGCCTCACTAACACCCAATTACTTATACTTCAACACGCAAGCCAGAGACCCCCTGCCCCTGGGAGCCTTTGCTGCCTCTTTATTCCCATCCCTCTGCTATGGTGTCTTCTCACTGGGCCTCTCCTCCCAGGACCCTGTGGCTCTGGGGCACTAAATTGTAAGAATTCTCTCTTGGACCTGTAAGAAACTGGATTCTACCAGAGACTAGTTACAGTATGGCATAGCTAGCTTGCTTCCATCCCTTTTTCATATTAAGATCCTTGAACAAAACAATTGAGTCAGTATTTGATTGCAGGTACCCCAAATGTCCCCGTCTTGTTTGCCGCTGGTATCTCTTACCTGGCACAATGTCTGCTGCCATATAATGGGCCACCTGAATGAATGAATGATAAGTACACAATGAACGACTCAACCAGATCTAAGGATCTCTGGTGTAGTGGTTACAGCATTAGGCTGCTAACTAAACCGTTGGCAGTTCGAATCCACCAGCCGCTCTGAGGGAGAAAGATGAGGCAGTCTACTTCCCTAAAGATTTACATACAGCCTTGAAAACCTTAAGTTCTACTCTGTCCTAAAGGCTCTCTGTGAGTCGGAATTGACTCGATGGCAGTGCGATCCAGAACTTGGCATGAGGTCTGGATTGGAGTATATTCAGGATAAAGTGAATGAAAAGTGGAGGCGCTCGCGTGCTCCCTCGGGAGGGGGCGCTGCATTGCGACCTCTGCGCAGCTGGGGCTCCAGGCGTAGGACCCAGGCCAAGGGCAGGGATGGGCGGGCCAGCCTGGGATCCTGAGCCCGTACCCTGAGCAAATTTCGCTTTCGCTTTGGGCCTGTCTGGAGGCGGCGGGGCCGTCCCGAAATGACTGCGGCGGGGTACCCGGGGAGTTAATCCGAAAGCGCTGCAAGCCCCGCGGGTCGGACTCCACGTGTCACCGAGAAGCTGATGTAGAAAGAGACAGAGAGAGAAGGAAAGACACCAGAGCCCTGGGAAAGTCCTGCCGCGACCTTGGGGCAATTATAAAAATGTGACCCCCTGGGTCGGTAGCCCAGCCACCGCCCTCACCTGCCAAGTCCATCCGTCCGCGTCCTGTGATCCGCTCGGCATGTGTCCGCTGCGAAGTGAGTAACTGGCGCCCAGACTCTACGCTTTTGGGGGAAAGGATGGCAGCCGGGGAAGGGGACCCAGAAACTTGAGACAGGCTAAGGGGAGACTGGAAGACAATTAGCATTCTCATGCAAAGAGGGAAAAGCAAGTGTTGCGCTTTTACCATGTGCTAAATAGAATGCTGTTTCTGTTAACCCTGAAACAGCACCAGGAGCTAAGTATTAATATCTCCCGCTCTAGGCTTGTAGTCCAGGGTTCCTCAACTGTAGTTGCAAGAGGGCAACTCAGGTGGCTGCAAAGCAAAGTACTTTGTGAATCTACTGTTTCCAAGACACACAGTCGTGAGTCTGGATCAGTCAGTTCATCACCTGGCCTCAGCTTCCCTGCTTGTGAAATGGGGGTTTTCTCAGGGTGAGCTCTGGGCCCAGTGCCCCTCTCTCAGCTCATCTGGGGGCCCTCACAAAGAGCTAACCGGTTGCCTTTGAGTGGATTCCAACTGAAGGTGACCCTAGCTATGTGGGGCAGAGTAAAACTGTGCGTCGTAGGGTTTTCAATGGCTGACTTTGTGGCAGTAGATTGCCAGGCCTTTCTTCTGAGTGCCTCTGGGTGCACTCCAACCTGTAATCTTCCAGTCAGCAGCCAAGTGCAATACTGTTTGCACCACCCAGGGACTCCTCACAGTGAGCTAGCTTTGTCCCTGCATTAGAGCATCTGCCTTCCAAGAACTCAATTCATCTCTCAAGTCTTGGAGGGTGATTGGAGACGGGTAGGGTGGGATTAGTGAAGAAAAGACACAGATGGACAAAGGTGGCCAGAATGGGGGAAGATGGAGATAAGCCAAACCCTGGGGAATAGCTCACCCTGTGCCTCACTTCCCTTCCAGGTCTCCTCCTTGTGGCCAGCCTCACCCTGCTGGTCCACCTCAGCTTGGCCAGGAGCCTCTCTAAGGCTTTACCAGGCCCTGGGACGTTTGAGTGCCTCAACCACTCCCAAAACCTGCTGAGGGCTGTCAGCCACACGCTTGAGAAGGTGAGAGTTTAGTGTCCGTTGTGCCCTCTCTGCAGCCTCTCTGTGGAAGGAGCTTCTCTGAACCCCTGGTCACCTGAAGGAACTGCAGGGAAATTGTGGAAGTTAATCAGTAGCTGTCAAGAAGGGGAGAGGGAACTTTACAAATGGCCCAACTATTAGTGAAAGAGTCTCAATGAAATTGTGTCTCCAGAGAAAGCAAGAGTAGTAATAAATTAAAATGGCATTCATTTTGGTTATGTCTACACAGAGGAAAGTGGGTATTTACAGTGTTCCTTGTAGCCTGCCAAGAGAGATGGAATTGTGTCAAGTCCACACTGTTTATCTGACACCACTTATCAATCTACGAAAGTTATTAGGTGCATACTCTGTGCTCCTGGGGCTACGGAGATGAATTAAACCTGTCCCGTGTGCGACTCTCCAGCTTCCAGTCCGATGCCGTGTAGTGCCTGGTTAAAGCAGCTGCATCTTAGGGAAGCTTGGGCCAGTGCATGCCCAGCCTTCATTTTCTAAGGGAAGTTACCTAATTATGTACAGCTTCATTTATTTTCTTAAGTTTCTTATTTTAATGCCAAAAAAAAAAAAAAAATTATTTCCCCCTTTTTAGAAGTGTTCCAAGACTATTACTTTTGCTGCTAAGGTCAAAGACTAATTTTTAAAAATGTCCTTTTGCCTTCCTGCTTGATAGTAAATCTTTCTGCAGTATTTTCTAGCTTGTTGCTTTGTGAATATCCTAAAATAAGCCCAATGTTCTTCTTAAAAAACTCCTTTTTTTTCCTTCTAATCTTTCATAATGTGCTGCCAATTGCTCCTGGCAGTTCAATCAATCTTAATTAAAAAAGCAGCTCACCAAGTGAAAATGGCAGAGATAAGTGCTTTGATTCCTAAAGAGATGTTCAATAGGGATAAAAGTTAAGAGTTCTAATTTAAATAGATGCTTTATGTGAAAAAGCTGACTCTTGTACTCCCAGATGTAGTGCTAAAGGTCAAAAGACTACAGAACTCAATTTCGTATTTTTTATATCATTCCTTTGTCAAATTTGCGGGAGCAAATCAACTGACTGCTTCAGGAAACAGAGGTGGCAAATGCACGAGGTTCCCAGGCCACAGCCAGCCTACAGATATGTAAGGTTGGGCCCATTTTTTCTTTTTTGGCTTTTGAGTTGATTGTTAATGCCTTAATCACAGTGCCAACAGAGCTCTATGCTAGGTATAAAGGACAACAAATAAGAGGATTGTGCCTTTCTCTTCTGGAATTCCAGGTTTAGCTGCAGAGACAGGCAAGTGCCCAAATGACTAGAAGACATGTCAGCAGGTGGGAAATGCTACAAAGGTATGGAGGCTCTGAGGAGAGGGTGGAAAAGGAGACACAGACTTTTCAACACTGAGTTGATTTTTGAAAAAAATGGACCTTTTATATAAGAATCCAAATTTTCAGCTTCTCTTGAAAAGATAAATTTGTTATTAAATCTCTGGGGCAGAAGTGTGACTGAGTCTCACTAGGCTAAAATCAAGAAGTCAGCAGGACTGCATTCCTTCTGGAGGCTCTAGGAGAATCCATTTTCCTGCTTTCTCTGTGCAGGCCATATTCCTTGGCATGTGGCCCCTTCAAAAGCCAGCAGCAGCGAGTTAAATCTTTCTCACATGGCATCATTCTAATATTCTTCTGCTTCCATCTTCCACTTATAAAGACCAATTAGACTGATTACATTAGGCCAACCTGGATAATCCAGAATAATCTCACTACCTCAATTCCATCTGCAACCTTAATTCCCCTATACCGTGTATTCACAGGCTCCAGGGATTCGAACTTGAACATCTTTGTTAGGGGGCCATTATTCTGCCCATTACAGGCAGGGATCTTATTACCTGGTTCCCATTTTCTATACTGTCAGGCTTTGAGTCATGACTCATTCATTTCCCTCTGCCTAAAATCCCCTCTCCTTCTCTACCCGCCAAGGAGCTCTGGTGGCACAGTGCCTAAGGCATTTGACTGCTAGCCAGAAGGTTGGTGGTTCAAACCCATCAGATATCCCATCTCTGGTAAAGTCTGTGACTCCTTTTCTACCCTCTCCTCAGAGCCTCCATACCTTTTGTAGCACTTCCTACCTGCTGACATGTCTTCTAGTCATTTGGGCACTTGCCTGTCTCCACAGCTAAGCCTGGAATTCCAGGACAGTAAGGCACAATCCTCTTATTTGTAGTCCTTTACACCTAACATAGAGCTCTGTTGGCACTGTGGTTAAGGCATTGGTCTGCTACCAAAAGGTCAGTAGTTCAAACTCACCAGCTGCTCCATGGGAGAAAGATGAGACAGTCTGCTTCCATAAAGATTTAGCCTTGGAAATCTCGGAGGTTGCTATGAGTTGGAATTGACTCAATGGCAGTAGGTTTTAGGTTTTTTATACCTAGCATAGTACCTTGCACACATCAAGCTTGTTGAATAGAAAAATGAACTCAGTCTTCAATCAGAATGTTATTAACTTAAGATAAATTTTATACTTAATAGTGTTGTTGCTGTTATGTGCTGTCAAGTTGGACTTGACTCATAGTGACCCCTCCTTGGGTTTCCAAGGCAGTATCACTACAGAAGTAGATTGCCCAACCTTCCTTCCAAGGAGTGGCTGGTGGGTTTGAACCGCCAGCCTTCTGGTTAGCAGTCAGGTGCCTTAGGCACTACACTACCAGAGCTCCCTAATTAATAATATCTTCGCACATGCTCTTTCTGTGTATACACACACAAGACTGCAAATTATATCTCAACTTATCTTTAGGGTTTGCATGTTTGTTATATCAAGCTGTGACCTTAGCAGTTCCCCCTTTAGAAGTTATACATGGAAAAGATATTCATAAAACAGAGGTGTTTTGGCAAAAGAAAATAAAAAAAAAAACCTGTTTTCATCAGAAGCAAGTGTCACAACGTGGTATAGATGCTGATTAGCACAGCCTGTTGAAATGATTTATAGTGTTTACATAATGGAAAAACATGTCATCCAGAGAAACATGTCCTAAGCAAAGGGAGAGGAGGGAGGGAGAAAGAATTTAAATGACCTATTTCCCCTTGTCTGATGAAGAACCAGCATTTCCTACAGGTTAAAGAGATGGAGGTCTAGGCTAACTAGCTGCGGTCAGACTGGGACCCTTACATGTCAGCTTCATGGGGAGCCAGATGCCATATAAATATTACTGAGTTTTTCTTCATATTTTTTACAGGCCAGACAAACCTTAGAATTTTACTCCTGCACTTCTGAAGAGATTGATCATGAAGATATCACAAAAGATAAAACCAGCACAGTGAAGGCCTGTTTACCTCTGGAATTAACCATGGTACGTGGTTCTTCTTGTTGTTAGTTGCCATCAAGTCAGCTCTGGCTGATGAAAACCCCATGTACTACAGAATGAAACATTGCTCAGTCCGGCACCATCTTCACCCTCACTGGCATGGTCAAGGGCATTGGTGCAGCCACTGTGTGTTTGAAGTGCCTTCCAACCTTTGGGGCTCATCCTCCAGCACTGTATTAGTCAATATTCTGTTGTGATTCATAGTATTTTCATTGACTAATATTTTGAAGTAGATTTCCAGGCCTTTTTTTTTTTTTTGGCAATCTCTCTTAGTCTGCTGAAACCCTATGTCTACTATGGATGACCCTGCTGGCATAGATTCCAACATCATTGTTGTTGTTATGTGCCGTCGAGTTGACCTCGACTCATAGCGACCCCTCTTGGGTTTCTGAGGCAGTATCACTATGGAAGTAGATTGCCCAACCTTCCTTCCAAGGAGTGGCTGGTGAGTGTGAACCGCCAGCCTTCTGGTTACCAGTCAAATGCCTTAGGCACTATTCTATAGCAACCCACACATCACCACAGCATGACAAACTGACAGACAGGTAGTGGAACCACAGCACAGAGGATGCTTTTCCCCCAGTGACTCTAACACAGTTAAGAGCTGTATATCAGACCTCATCTTTTCCAAGAATGTGCATGTTTCTGATGTCCCTCATCATGAGACTTTATCAGGTCTTATTTCAGAAGTTAGATTTGAAAAAGAAGAAATTATGAGAACAGATATGTTTGAGAGGAATCAAAGAGGTTTACATTCATAAATTAATATAATATTTACAATTTAATTGATAAATTAATATAATACTTATAAGTTAATGGATAAATGTATATCATTGATGCCTGATTTTGTTTTTTCTCCAGAACGGGAGTTGCCTGGCTTCCCATGAGACCTCTTTCATAACCGTAAGTCAGTAAAAACAAAAACTTCACACTATGAAGTCCTATCACTGATGTTCAATTATGTTTTCTCATAGGATGGGAGTAAGACTCAAAACTCTTTCCTCAAATGCAGTGGGAGGAAAGGTTTTAACCTGTCTCAATGTTGCTTTTCCCCTTTCTTCACATCCCCCAGACTCTGTGCCTTAATAGTATCTATGAGGACCTGAAGATATACCAGCTGGAGTTTAAGGCTATGAATGCAAAGCTTTTAATGGACCCCAAGAGACAGATATTTCTGGATCAAAACATGCTGGCAGCTATTGATGAGCTGATGCAGGTAAGCCTTCCCTTCTATCAGTGAGAGAGCCTTCCTCATGCTGAAGACATCAGCCAGGGGCCCTGAAGAGGTATAAAATCAGCCCTTCCTGAAGGGGAGAGGTCTGAAAACGTCCCTTGTATAATCCCTGCAGGAGTTCTGGTAGCATAGTGCCTAAAGCACTTGACTGCTAACCAGAAGGCTGGCACTTCAAACCCACCAGCCACTCCTTGGAAGGAAGGTTGGGCATGCCTACTTCCTTAGTGATACTGCCTCGGAAACCCAAGGAGGGGTCGCTATGAGTCGGGGCCGACTCGATGGCACGTAACAACAACAACAACAATAATCCCTGCAAGAATCCCTGGTGGCACAACAGTTAAACACTCAGCTGCTAACCAAAAGGTTGGCAATTCAGATCTACCCAGAGGCTATGTGGAATAAAGACCTGGTGATCTGTTCCCACAAAGATTACAGCCTAGAATACTCTATGGGGCATTTCTGCTGTGTCACATGAGGTTGTGATGAGTTGAACATTGATCCGATGGTACCCAAAAAAAAAAAAAAAAAACCCTACAGAGCAATATTTTTGGGGAGACAGCTTTGAAGGCTCCCTCTACTGCGAGGGCAACCATAAGCCTATCATATTAAGAAAAGCAGCCTCCTATTTCTTGAATGGAGTCCCGAGGTGGTGCAAATGGTTATGGGCTCGGCTGATAACCAAAAGGTTGGAGGTTAAAGTCCACCTTAAGTTGCCTTGAAAGAAAGTCTGGTGATCTACTTCTGAAAATCAGCCATTGCAAACCCTATGAAGCACAGTTCTTTCTAGTCTGACCCATGTGGAGTCGCCAAGGGTCAGAGTTGAAATCAAAGCTTAAACCACTTGTCTGAGGTCACACAGCATATAAATGGCAGAACCAGGATTTGAACCCTTGTCAAAGAGATTTCACCATGCAGATCTTATCACTCATCTCTCAAGGCTCTAGAATATACAGGTGAGGGGCAGGCATGCATATCTGCACATCTTGGAAGAGACAACAAGTAGGACTGATGCATGGTTATGACCTATTGTGAATCAAATGAAGTAATGACCTATTATCTGATGATAGCCACAATATTATTCATAGGCGAGAACTTGATTTTTAATTTTCTGTATCACCGTAGTACATGATGCTAGTACAATCATAAAAATATTTATGTAAGAACAGGGGGAGTGCCTTGATGGGATAAAAACATGGTGGCAGAAATCACTGTCTGAAAAGGAATTGTTTATTTATGTATTTATTTACCAAATAAATAAATACCTGTTTGAAAGGGGTCTCTGATGGTGTAGTGGTTAAAGCATTGGGCAGCTAACAAAAAGGTCAGTGGTTCAAGCCCACTAGCTGCTCCACGTAGAAATATGAGGCAGTCTGCTTCCATAAAGATTTACAGCCTTGGAAACCCTCTGTGGTAGTTATACTCTGTCCTATAGGATTACTATGAGTCACAGTCAACTCAATAGCTGTCGGTTTTGTTTTGTTTTGTTTTATAAGGCAGTACACTTTATGCAAGTATCGAAGAATGTAACTATCCAGAGAGATTTATTTCATAGTTCACTTTAAAAACTCTTATAACCAAGAGTCAGGTGATTTGTACTCTGGAATCAATTCTGCCATTAACGAGACAACTATGCTCAACCCACTTAACACGTCTGTGGCTTAGTCCTTTCCTCTGTAAAATGGGAGGTCTTTAACTGCCCTAGGTTCATAGGTGGCATAAACAGTTTACTTGACTGCTAACCTAAAGGTTAGCAGTTCAAACTCACCCAGCAGTACCTGGGAAATAGGCCTGGGGATCAGCTTCCATCAAGATTATAGCCAAGAAAACTCCATGGAGCAGTCCTGCTCTGTAGCACATGGAGTGGCCTCAACTCAACATCAATGAACAACAGAAACTCCTCTTTTAGTTTTTCAGTGAGGAACAAGTGAAAGTACCAAACACTCTTCAAATGGAAGCCAAACCAAAGCTTCTGCCATCAAGTCGATCTGACTCATAGCAACCCTATAGGACAGAGTAAAATTGTCCCATAAGGTCTCCAAGGCTGTAAATCTTCACAGAAACAGATTGCCTGACCTTTCTCCTGCAGGGTGGCTGGTGGGTTCAAACTGCTGACCTTTTGGTTAGCAGCCAAATGCTTTAACCACTGCACCACCAGAGCTCCTCATTGTGTCTTACTATGTTGTAATCGATTCCAAGGGCTAGAATTGGGAAATCGATGGTCAGGTTCATTTCTGACTCCAATGGAGTGTCTGTACTAAACAGATCTGTTACTGATAGAAATTCTGATAATAGCAAACAATCACCTTCCAGTTTTAAAAAGAACTTAGCTTCTTAATGTAACATATACAAAAAATAATTAGATATTGCAGCAGATGTCTTCTTAACAGAATTTCTAAAACGTAACTCCTACTGACGGTTTTCTAAACAGCTATGAGGGTCATTTCAGAGCTCACTGAAGATGTGTGCACTTGAGCAACGAGTATTCTTCTCTCAGGTTTTGCCCGGCCTGATGGCTGGGAGTAGATTCGGGTTGGGTTTAGGAGATGTAATGAGGGAGTGGTTTGTAGGCTCTGAGACATGTATTGGCTTCACCCATTATTGTGGATGAACGTTTTAATTTTAAATACATATATGTAGCATAGTGGCTAAGACACTTGCCTGCTAACCAGACGGCTGGCGGTTCAAACCCACCAGCCACTCCTCGGAAGGAAGGTTGGGCAATCCTACTTCCGTAGTGATACTGCCTCGGAAACCCAAGGAGGGGTCGCTATGAGTCGGGGCCGACTCGACGGCACATAACAACAACAACAACAACATATGTATTTATTCTCCTAGGCCCTGAATTTCAACACTGAGACTGTGCCACAAAAACCGTCCCTTGAAGAGCCGGATTTTTATAAAACTAAAATCAAGCTTTGCATCCTTCTTCATGCTTTCCGAATTCGTGCAGTGACTATCGATAGAATGATGAACTATCTGAGTTCTTCCTAAAGAACTGAGATTTCTTCAAATCTTAAAGTCATTTTTCTAGAAATCAGAACCAAAGTTATTTTAACAGGATGTGAGTTAGAAACTGGGGAGGGGGTGGTTTGACCTGGTCCTACTTAAGCTAGCACAGTCACTCTCCTTCCTGTTTACATTAGTCACCACCCAAAATCTGAAGGGTGTGACTGTTATCTCCACATGATTCTTTTGATCAAGTGTATTTCACATTTACTATGGATAAGTTGTTTTTAAGTTTTCATGAGCAAACTGCTAAGAAGGGAAAATACCTTTACTGAATGTGTTTATCTTCCCCTTTAACAGAATGAGAATTTATAAGCTATTTCTGTACCAAAGTGTTTGTAGAAACAAACACTCAAGCATAATTTATTTTAAAATATTTATTTATATAATTTTATGTTCATGAAAGCATGTGAACTAACTTATATTTATTTATATTGTATTTATTTATTTATTATCAAATGAATTTGGAAGAAAAATGCGTTATAAATGTTATTCTAAAAATAAAACAGAATTAAGGTAATTTTCATATTTTCTAATATAACTGGAATTCTTTAAGTGTTAAAATATACATTGGGAGAAAACTGCAAACTTTACTGAAACTTGAATAAAATCACCTTGGAAAGAATGTCTCAATGTTTTCATATGTTTCCTGTTGTTGTCGTTATTTGCCATCGAGTCAGTCCCGACTCATAGCGACCCCTCCTTGGGTTTCCGAGGCAGTATCACTACAGAAGTAGGATTGCCCAACCTTCCTTCCGAGGAATGGCTGGTGGGTTTGAACCACCAGCCTTCTGGTTAGCAGTCAAGTGCCTTAGGCACTATGCTACCAGAGCTCCTAATATGTTTCCTAGTTCCTTTAATTTCATGTTTTGAAAGGAGCCAAAATATGCTTTCATACTGAGGCAATCAAGTGAGTTAGAGTTTATAAGAGTATATGTTACTATTTTTGTTCAAAATCTGACTCTAAAGTAAAATACATTTTTTAAAATTTCTAATAATCAAAACCCCATAACACTGTGCATTAGACCTAACAATATTCTTCAAGTGGGAAAAATATCATTAATAGGCCATCTAGTTAAATTACTCTAATTTGTGTGACCCTTTGGGCTGCTTCTGTTGTTGTTGTTAAGTGCTGTTGACTCAGACCCAACTCATAGTGACCCCTCCTTGGGTTTCCGAGGTGGTATCACTACATAAATAGATTGCCCAATCTTCCTTGTGAGGAGTGGCTGTTAGGTTTGAACCGCCAGCCTTCTGGTCAGCAGTCAAGTGCCTTAGGCACTACGCTGCCAGAGCTCCTAGTAGCTGATAATCCTTGGAGTTTGGGGGCTTGTAGATAGATGTGCCTCAATTGTTTTCTGACAGTATTGGTCTTCCTGGGGTCTACTTGTTTTTTATATTGCAGAAGTGATCAAGTTTAAAACACACCCTATATTGATATGGGTTCATTAACATAACAAAGAAAACCCTATTCTCAAATGGGATTACATCCACAGAATAGGGATTAGGATTCCAGCACATATGGGGTGGGGTGGGAGGGCATAATGCAATCCATGATATTTTGGTTCTAGAAATTACCATGAGATACATGTCAAAAACATGATTGGCATGACTGGCCCAAGAAACATCTTCATGACTTTTCCATTCCTTATATGATTAGTTTTCCTTTTTTTTAACACCTGAGTCTGTAATTTCCAAGCTGTGTTATAGGACCAAGCTGTTTAACTTCTCTCTGCTTGTTTGCTCTTCTTGGAAGTAGAGATAATCCTAGAACCTACCTCAAAGGATCAGTGGTGGCTATTGTGAGTTGCCGTCTAGTTGATGCCCTAGTTGATCCCAACTCATGGCAAGCCTATGTGTGCAGAGTAGAATTGCTCCATAGGGTTTTCAAGGTTGTGACCTTTGGGAAGCAGATCACCAGGCCTGTCTTCTGAGGTGCCTCTGGGTGGGTTTGAACCATCAACCTTGTGGCTACTAGTCCAGCACTTAACTGTTTGTGCAACCCAGTGACTCCCAAAGGGTAAGAATGAGAGTTAAAACAATTCATAAGCACTAGTCCAGTGCCTGGCACATAAGAACACAATCCATATTAACAATCATTGTTATTATTACTTCTGGGGCTTGGTCATCAGAGCAAATTGGCCAAACCCTCTATGCTACTATTTCCTTATCTGTGGAATATAGAAAACTGCAGAACCTACTTTCACAGTGTTATTGTTTAAGGAAAAATGCACTACAATATTTTAAATAAGAAAAAATTCAAACACATTCTTTAAAAACTATTGTATGCACCTAAAATATTTCATAGTAAAAATTTTCGTTTAAAATTTGTATATGTACCAATATTTTGGTTGAAATGTACTTGGTAGGTACAAGTACAAACACTAAGTTATATTTAAGTATCTGAGTATGATACTAAATATATAGGAGAATATGAATTATGACATCAATATATTGTCAGAAAGGAGCTGTGGTGGCATAGCGGGTAAGGCATTCAGATGCTAACCAGAAAGTTGAGGGTTCAAACTCACCAGCTGCTCCATGGGAAGAAGATGAGGCAATCAACTTCTGCAAATATGTACAGCCTTGGAAACTCAATGGGGGCCACTATCAGTCAGAATCAACTTGATGGCAGTGGGTATAATATCAGAAACTATATCCATATCAGGACCTCTGGTAGCGAAGTGCCTAAGGCACTTGACCGCTAACCAGAAGGCTGGAGGTTCAAACCCAACAGCCACTCCTTGGAAGGAAGATTGGGCAATCCACTTCCATAGTGATACTGCCTTGGAAACTCAAGGAGGGTTCGCTATGGGTCAGGTCCGACTTGACCACACATAACAACAACAACAAATATCCATGCTATTTTAGAAGTAATAGTAGCTAGCTAGCACTGTACCAGACAGTGTCAGATGTTTCCCACAATTTCATACCATCTTCCCAATAATCCATACCTTTCTCCCACAGAGCTACTAGTGGGTTGAATTGCTGACTTTTCTTTTAGCCACGAAACACTTAACCACTGCGTCACCAGGGCTCTTTAATCTTAGGAAGAGAGATTATTATCATTCCCTTTTTAGAGATAAGGAAACTAAGGCAGAATACCCAAGCACACACAATGAATAAGTAGCAGATACTGCCATTGACGCCCAAGCAGTCTTGTTCCAGCCTGTGCACACAGCCACTATACCCTTCTGCCTCTCATTTTCAGGTCACATTAAGACAAAAGAAAGGCGCCTGGGTAGCACAATCGGTTTGTTCGGCTGCTAACCCAAAGGTTGGCAATTTGAATCCACCCACTGGCACCATGGAAGAAAAGCCTGGAAGTTTGCTTCCATAAAGATTGCAGCCAAGAAAACCCTATGAAGCAGTTGTACTCTGTAACACAGGAGGGCACCAGGAATCAGGAGCCTACTCCACTGACAGCTAACAAAAGAGACAAAGGAACACTTTCACCATAACCATACAAACATTGTTGCAATTATTCACAGGTCTCCTGCCTTCCTCACTCCTCTGTGAGACCCTCTAGTATAAGGAGTGCTATTTTATACATACATATATATATATATATATATGTATATACACACACACACACACACACATATGTGTGTATGTGCATGTGTGTGTGTGTGTATATATATATGTATATATATATAGTATATATATCTTCCTTACTCCAGACACTCAAAAAGTGGTAGAGATGGAGAAGAAGAAAAAATATTCAGGGGCTCCCATATGCTTCTTATGTTTTTCTTTTCTAATTTAAGAATGAACAAGAAAATCTTTAGCTTTCCAAAAGAAAAGTATTCCAAATTCCAAGAAAAAGCTAAAAATTTTAAAATGCACATGCTTGTTTGGTTCATAATAATTATACATACTTGTAATGGGGGAGAATACAGAATTTATAAGTTGTTGATTTGTTTAAAATAATTTTAATGTGTTTTTTGGTTATATTGCTATTACTCTTCTAAAATAGCATGCCAGGCAAACAAATTTTAAAATACATACTACACTGGTGGTTTACTTTTACGTTATGTTGCAAAAATCTTAGCAACAAACCTTTAACACAATTAAGGTTTGAGACTCAAGCAATCGTGTCACTTCCTTGTTTCCACGCAGCCCCTGATGGGACCTGGGGACCTAGCAGGGCTGTGGGCTCCTTTCTCTCCCCCCAACACTCTTCCCACACCAGAAAGCTCTGCCTTTTGATGTTTACCAATGCAAGTTCCAAGTAAGATCTTTGACAAATGGCTTCCATTGCTAAGGAAAGTTCAAACCCCACTGATCTAATTGAAGCCCCTCTTTACAGTTAAGTTTTAGAAGTAACCAAACCACCATTTAGATTTTCATATTGCTTAAGCACTTGTTTACTACCAGCAACGTTGGCTTGAACCCACCAAGGTGCCTCAGACGACAGACCTGGCAAGCTGCTACCACAAGCTCGTGGCCTTGAAAACCCTGTGGAGCAGGCCTATTCTACACACTTGGGGTCACCACGAATCAAAAGCAATTTGACATGACTAACAACATAAATGTGTAGAGTGTACCCACTTTCAAAAATGAAACTCATGTCAGAGATTGCAGCAAAAAGCAAGGCTGGACTCCCGCAGAATAAAGATGGCAGACTAACTCAAGGCTTTCTAACTAGTGATTTGCATCATGATTGGGACAAGTTAGATTTAAATCCACTGCAAGGCTCCAGGCTTGAACAAGAGGTTCCAGTATGGAAGCAGGAAGAACCATAGGACTCGAATCCAGAACTCAACTCTAGGGCCTCTACTTAGTACCAGCAGCTAGAGAGCTGACCCCAGAACTCCTGAAGTCATGCTGTGTGGGCAGGGAGACTGGAAAAGACACAATCCCAGCAGCAAATCCCTGATTATCCGGCTGGGATCAGGCCCTTCAGCAAACAAGAAGGATTTCCAGCAAAGGGGAACAACTGCTGAAAACCACTGTCCTCGTGAGAACATGTTCAAAAGTCAGCA